TTACCATAATTATACATTAATTAATGTTGATGATCATACATACTTTATGGACGTTTTATATAATGGCCGTGTATATGCATTTATGTTATATATTTTATCTTATGTGCGTGTATGTGTGTGTTTACTTGTATACATGTTCAACAAAACATCGAATAAATCAATTTATACTGAAATATGAATTGAATGTCGTGCTACTTGCCACTTATAAGCTACTTCTTCCGTTAATATCACTTATTTTGAGAATAAAAGAGGAAAGATTATTTTTTGCTTATTTCAAATTAGCAATGCTAATTTTGGGTCTTCTCGTCGTTTCAAGTCATTCTTAACCATTTGACACCAAAATTGAAATAAAATATGTGTGTGTGTGTGAACCAAAATTTGTGCCTTCGTCGATGTTTGCTCAAAAACGACTGCTCCGAATTCAAAATTTTTCTCTTATTTTTTTATGTGAGTTTATTCTGTAATCTGTTTATTATAAAATATTAAGCAGAGACTACTAACATATATATGATAAAATGATGTATATATATTTTCAAACATTTAAAAGTTATTTGAAGAAATTTGTTAGCAGAAATTTTTCACCCTCGTTTTCGCCAAAAATCCTGAACTGATTTTGAAAATGAATGATTCTAATGAAACTTTGTGTATATGTTTTGGAGTTCATGGTTTTAACGAACATTCTAAAATTTATTGTAAATTTATAGCTTTCTCAATGAAACTATTCATTTTAACCATCTGAATATTTAGAATATATTCTGAAGCACTTTCAAATACTGTTTTTATGTGAATTATTAACTCTTAATCTTGCCAACTTGTTTAGAACAGCCAACAAGTAATGAAGTTTATGCAATTCATATATAAAAATCTAACATGAAATTCATAAGTATAAACAATCTTAGCATTCAGGCTATTATTATTTATAAAAATAACCCTAATTACTAATTTTACGACGAGCAAGTAATAGCTCGTCAAATATTAGTTCTATTGTTAAAATTGCTTAAGTTTGGATTTTAGGCCATTGACAAATAGTAAAACTGCATACAATTTTTTAGGCCTTGGCGTACGATAATTTTTATTTCTTCTATTTTCTTGCGGAAAATCGCCAATTTTGCTAAGGACCATTAAATATGTAAAACACCGCATGTCCACCGGCAGTACATAAGAGAAGAGAAAGATTGATCGCGGCGACTAAAAAATTTATGACAATTCAGCAAAGTTATAATAAACTAATGTTATAAAATTATAGTTTTTTAAACAATTGTTATTTAATTGGGCTTAACACCTTGAAGACCGCGCCGGAAATCGTGGATTACTCGTGGTGAACCTATCAAATGACAATTCCATACAAAACATATTGTGTGCTCATCGGTGGCCATGCGATCCCGTAATGTTTCTGGGATTTTGACAAAACTTCGCATAGTGATAGAGTTGATAGTCAAATCGATCAACTTAAAATATTATAGGCTTATGAGAAGCGGTTTAATAAGTGGTCATTGTGTGCATCGACTGCCGAGTGCCTCGAAAGGAGACAATCGATAGTGATATGTTAGACTTACCTTATCCCTTCAGGGGGATACCGAGTGTTAATATATTAGTAACATTTTGAGGAACAATGAATTTATATGCAATTCATCAACAATTGATTCAAATCAAGTATAATTTGAAAAGTACATTAATTAACTTTCTGTAGGGTAAGTTATAGTAATCGCAAAAAAATCAAAAATGAAAATTTTTATATATCTTTACGTTTCAAAGGTTTCTGAATATTTTGGCATACATTAGAAAAAATTTGATTTGATTAATTCAAAAAACATTCGATTCGTATTGATAAGGAGACGTGCTGATTAGTTTTTGGCGAAGGCAGAGCTAGCCGTTTCGAAAATACAGAGCAAAAAGTGCATTACAGTACGGGACGTTCCAACAATTTGCCTTAAGGCACGATGTCATGCGCTCCACTAGCTATGACTTATAATTAGTTGAATTGCCATAAGTCTTTTTTAAACACCTGGGGTCAATGACTTTCATTAATTTGCTAGCCGAAAAATGTCAATTTTGATAAGTGGAGTCTATTGACAAAATGCATGGCAAGACTAGTTTGAAATCTGAACGTTAATTAACTTCCCGTAGGAAAATGAAAATTTTTGCATTTCTCGACGTTTCAAAGGTTTTTGAATATTTTGGCATACCTTAGAATAAATGGATGTATGTGTGTGTGTGTGCGTGTGTGTGTGTGTGTGTGTGTTTGGATACAAATTTCGTCGACGATTTCGAGAACACCGATCAACCGATTTAAATAATTTAAAAAACATTCGATTCGTACTGATAAGGAGACGTCCTGATAAGGAGACTTTTGGTGGAGGCAGGTCTAGCCGTTCCGAAGATACGGGGCAAAAAGTGCCAAAAACGGTAACACGGTTTTTAAGAGAACGGAGCGTCCGATTTGAATAATTCAAAAAACATTTCACTTGTATTGACAAGATGAAGAATTTTCATGAAGGCAGGTCTAGCGGTTTCGGAGATCTAATGAAAAAAGTAAAACAAAAAGCCATTTGGCGGTCAAAAATGATCATTAGACATATGCACATCTAATTATCAGATATTTTATAGAGATTTTAACAATAAGTATAAATTTTGTTTACATTCCTATGGGTTCCGTACCAATTTTTATCCGTTAGACGGTGACGCGGCGCTTACGCGCTTTGACATTTCGTCTCTATGCAGTTAAAGCAGTACGATTGCTTTAAAAAAAAGTTCAGAATTTCCAAACTATGCCAAAATAAAGAGACCTTTTTTTTCAAGCATTTTTTTTTGTTTCTCAAAAATCTAATTTTTTTCAAAAATGTTAATGGCTTTTAAAAAAATAATAATTTTTGGTACGGGAAGTTCCAGCAATTTGCCTTAAGGCACGATGCCTTAATTGCCTTAAGGCAGAATTCCACTTACAGCTAGTTTAGTCTTACTACCTCTTACTTACTCTTCTTTTATCTATGCTTACTACTTTATTGTGGTTCGCGGATTTGCTTAGCGATGGCACCAGCACTTAAAATAGAAATCCAGAACCCTGTTTTATCGACATATTTTGACAACACGTTTCGATACGGCAGCTACGTGGCTGAAGATTGGCAAACGTTCACTTCGATTTTCTGTCAGTACTTACCGCCGCTTGGTGTTCTATTAAACAAAATTAGTCTATCTTTTATTTTAAAATATGGCTTCAAGTATTCTATACTGTTTTGTGGTGTTAGCCGCGACTGTTTCAACTATTTTAGCGGCAAGTTGTTCAAATCCAGAAGTTACAGCCACATCTTTCACTACGCAAGATGCTACAATTGTTACAAATATAGCATTTATTGCTGAATTTACATTAAAATGCAGTCCAAGTGTTCCTAGTGGCATACCTTTGTATGCTGAAATTGATGGTAAAGTAATGCCGACTGCTAGAATTGGAGATAATAAATACCAAGTAAGTTAGGGATTCTCAATATTTTGTCACAGTTGTATATACATATACACATTACTTACATTACATTACATACGTACACACACACATATACACACACATATATATATATATATATATATATATATATAATTATACTCTCGATTTGTACAAGCATTTTTTCTAATTTACAGGTTAGCTGGACTGAAGAAATTAACAACGCTCGCAGTGGTGATCATAAAGTGAGATTATATGATGAAGAAGGTTATACTGCAGTTCGTAAAGCTATGCGATCTGGTAAGTTGAAGATATTATAAATGCTAATTTGAGATAATATAATTTGAAAATTTGAGTTTAAAATTTTATTGGAAGTTTTTTTACGCTCTCATAAGCGAGTTTATAAATTTATTTTGTTGTATATTCTATGTCAAAGCTATAAGCTTATAATATCATAGCTTCAAGATAGAACTTAAGTGTAAATTATTTTTTTAAAGGGACTTGATTTGTCCACTTGTATTTTAAGAACTTAACTTCATTCATTCATAACTTCATGGTTTTCACTTGCCTTTCTTATTATTTAATCTTTTATAAGTTATTCCTTTTTTGCCCAAATAATTTTGATTTTTTGTATATGTAAAGTTCTCGTTTTCAACTACCAAAATCAAATCAAATGCTTCATTTGGAATGTGACATCTCTGTTTAAAAAACAAATAGTTTAACATATATCTATAACTTTTTTTTATTACAGGTGAAGATGCCAGTGCTGTCAGGTCATTGGTGACTATCGTTATTTCACATCCTGGTGCATTTACTGGTCCATGGGTCAATTCTGAATTGGTTGCCTCATTAGCTGCTGTTGGTGTAGCTTACTTAGCATTTACTTCCAAATACAAATTATTATTATAGATGATTTAATTATAGTGAATGTTAAAATTTTATTTATTTAAATACAAATCTGGATTTTTTATAATTAGTTTTTCATTACAAGAGCTATCAAGTCCAAAATAATCTTACAGTTGAATTGTAGTTTGAATTCCAACTTATGTTAAATTTGACATTATTAATTAGAAAATATGTGTATCTCATATTCATGAACATTTTGTTATTGCAATTCCATCATTTCAAAATAGTACAATGAAAGCTTTAGAACTATAAAATAGGCTAAGTTTTTGAAGTTATAGAAGTGTTTTATTTTTATTATGCATATTTTACTACAAAATAACAAAAATGTAAAAATAAATTATAACAAAATTGACATGGAAATATTGTATAAAAAGTAAAAAAATCAAAATTAAACAAGTTAAAAAAATGTTAGTTACACAAACTTCCAAGGTATTTAGTTTAAATTTAGAAATAAATAAGATTTGCTTCATATCAAATTATTTGAATTGAAAAACATACTGTAATGTCAGTTCGCTAAAGTATTATGATTATGAATAAAAATATAAGTTTAAATCTGCAAGACGTTAGATTAGATTTGAAAGCCGTTTCGTGGGCGATGGTGTAGCATCTAGCGGCGACTTTCGAAAGTATTTCAAACTCGGTACCTTGACTTTTGACATATTGTGATTTCAATTTGTAGCTACTCTGCGTGAAAATGTATTTTTAAAACATGATTTTTAAATAAAAGTCGGCATGCCACCAAGTCGTTTAGATTCTATTTATCGACGCTTGTTGATAACTAAGTTTTTCACAAAAGGATGGGGTAAACCAGAAAACTTACAAAGGTAACAATAATATAGGTTATGTTATCTTACACAAATATTGTAATTTATCAATAAAAATGTTTATTTTGCAGGTTGTTTGAATTTAGAAAAATTATATCAAAAAGAGAAAATTGCTTTAAACTAGTAGATAAAGATTATCCTGTGACTATAACCAAGGTGAGTAGATTTTATCAGGATACTATTATGTAATTTAACATGTATAAAGTGTAAACACTCCCTGAACATATGCAAAAACAGATATTAATCTAAATACCCTTTAATATGAGTTTTATTAAGTTATTGCTTATTTTGTAAGTTTGTGAGCTTGTAATTTGTGATTCAAAATGATTAATTAAAATATTCTTTATTAAATATATTTTAAAAATATATATACTTTATTGCTTAAACATATCTAATTAACGGTTTTTAATTAGCACATGCTATACTGCAAAGTTCATATTATCACTTAGGAAGAATTAGCAGAGTAATTTAATCAGAATTTCTCATATGCATACATCCATAAATGAGATAAACTTCAGTTTGTCATATTGTTTGCATGTTATACTAAATTTTCTTATGGGATTGAACACTAGATAATTTCCTTTTCGGTTTCACGGTAACTTCAAACAAAGAAAAAATTGAATAAGCAGATTAAGCAATAAACAGAGTTGTTATTTACTAATTTGCAGAGTTATTAATCGGTTATTTGTTTCTACTGATATCACATTGCAAAACAAATACGCTTTTTGTGTCTCCGTATCCCTAGTTAAGTTAGATTGTTTATTATAATTTATTAAGTATTCTAGATTTTATATAAATAATAAAAAATATTATAAATTTAATTTTCAAAACTCATTTTGGCGCCCCTAAGGCGTGCGTTGGTATCAAGAGGCAAAGTTGTAAGTTTGTAAGTAGGGTTTACGAATTACGAGAAGAAATTGGATTGTTTCTTGAAAATCAGAGAACACAAAAAGAAAAAGAATATTTTGCCAAAATTAAAGACCAAGCATTTGTTCTATAAATGCAGTTGGATAATAAGCATATTTAGTTCAAATTTGTGTGGTTTTAATTATTTTAAGTTAGCTAGGGTAGCGGTAAACTCAATTCCCATACTTGTTCACAGGGGTAGTGACATTGAAAAAGTTGGGAACCACTGCTCTAGAATGACTCTAGATAAAATAGTAATTGATGTTTGTAATACTTATATTCACAAATCAGTTTGTATTTAAAACAGAACAATACCATCAGTTATAACTATTTTTTATTTTTTTTTATTTTGAAATCTATGTACTAATAAAGTTGTGTTAATACTCTCATGGTGTAACATTTAAAAGAAACTAAAAACAAGTTAATATATAGAAGTTTATATTCGCTTCGATTCAAATCAGAATTGTTGTTACATGTTAAATATTTTTAAATTCAATTTTTCTTAGGAAGAAGTGTGGTCTGACTGCCGCGTTTTAGAGGGCCATTTTGTGACACCACTTGATAAGTTTTTACCAGACTTAGTTCCCGAAGCAGCAAAATCTGCCCATTTTCAAATTTTACTACCTTTAAAATGGAAAGAGAACAATTTCAAGCCTATGTGTTTACATTTGGCTGGCACAGGAGATCATGTGAGTATGAAGCAGCATATATAATATCACAAATATATTTTTATTTGAAACTATTTATTTCGATTTATAGTATTTTGGAGAAGAACGTAATATATGGCCAAACCTCTTTTAAAAGAGTCAGGTATCGGATCTATCATTTTAGAAAAACCCATTCTATGGCTTAGGAAACCTAAAGACCAAGTGTAAGTATAATTATGTCTTGAGAATTGTTAGCATTAATACTTTTTTTTTCACAATAATTATAGAAATTCTAATATTTGATTTAAGATATAGATGTTTTTGTCTGCAGGCGGTCTTGCCTTCACAATGTGACCGATATATTCGTAATGGGAGGATGTCTAGTTTTAGAGTCGCTAGTTCTATTTCATTGGTGTGAACGGAATGGTTTTGGCCCGTTAGGTGTTACTGGCCTTTCTATGGGTGGTCATGTGAGTACACTTATTTTTTTGCTTTATTTAAAGTGAGTACAGTAATAGCAGTAGTTATAATGAGGCAAATTAATAAAAAAAAGTAGAAATAAAACAAAGTTTTGTCAAAATTTGTTGAGATAAAAATAATTAACTTTGAAATTTATTTGTGCCAAGGATGAAGATCATCCATATGTAAGGTGAGATTTTGTTGAAGATTTTAGTTCAAGCGATTTTTTTTTAGAGTAATTATATATTAATGAAATATTATTTTAGATGGCGTCATTGGCTGCCACAAATTGGCCAAAACCAATAGTCTTGGTTCCTTGTTTGTCATGGTCGACAGCTTCTGCAGTTTTACCAGGGTAAATAAAATACTATCAAATATATATATTAATATTAATTTTATATATTATTTTTAGGGTGTTCTAAGTCAATCAATTAATTGGGAACTGTTAGAAACACAATATTTAT